TCTGTTACGTCTACACCATCCGCCATTGGCATCTGCATTCCATCTGCCAATGTCACCATTTCTGCCATTCTCAGTCTCTACACTTCATTTACAGTCAATGAATCGGCTGCACTGCGGGATGCTTTTCATTACAACGTGGACCAGACAGCTGAGTCCTGGGTCATCTTCGCTGACTCAAGGGCAGTGCTGCAGTCGCTTAAGTCGACAAGCACGCAGGACCAACTCGTCAAGGACATGAAACGCCTATGCAAGAAAGCCTGCGACCTCCATCACCGTATTGTTCTGCAGTGGATACCTACCCACTGCGGAATGCAAGCAACTTCCGGGCTGAGGACACTGCCAAAGCTGGACAAGACGCTTCTGCAGAAATCATCGGGATGCCTTTTTCGAAGCAAGACGCTGCAACGCTAGTGTCGACGCACGCTTGGCACCTCAAGCGGTCTCTCTGGAGGGACCCTAGCCAACATTATGGGCCTCTGTAAAAAATCGATACATCGTGTCACTTCATTATGCCATGAAATCTCAACAGGCAAGATGAAACATCTTTACACCACATCAGAATAAACGTTGCATATACCAGCTACTTCATAACGAAATCGCACTGTCATATTTACCATTTTGTGTACAATGCAACGTCATAGAAGACATCAATCACGTCCTACGTGAGTGCTGGATATACGCATCAGGCATAGTCTTTAAAGATGGATTTAAAACGGCAACAAGACAAAATGTTGGAGTTGAAAAATATTCTAGGCCCATGGCAGAACAGCTCCAGTAGTCTCCAGAAAAGTGCAACTGACATTCTTATGGGTCACAGGCCTGAACGAAACCTTGTAAATAGTGCAGTGCGTGTGAGTGACTGTTTGTCTTCTTTGACTGTTATGCGTTTATGTTACTGTACATGCTATGCGTTTATTACAATATATATATATATATATATATATATATATATATATATATATATATATATATATATATATATATATATATATATATATATATATATATATATATATATATATATATATATATATATCACAGTCATCACGCGGCAGCTGGAGTAGCCTGTCAGGTGAAAAACCAGACAAGCCTCTCAAGCTCTCCATTCAAAACAATTTTCTCTCTTGTTTCTGATATCTTGTTTCACACCTGGCCACGCAACCTGTTTCAGAAGTTTGGTGTACGTGCACCAAAAACGGTCATGTCCACCTATATCAGGAGTACCGGCGCAAAAATGTCAGACATAGGCACTCATCAATGATGTAACTCGGTACTTTTCCTTTGAGGAATTTTAGTTTTTCGGTTCCTTCCCATAGCTCTAAACGCTTTATTTGTATAGCGTTGTCAACTGCGGCGTGACTCAGAAGCTTGGACTGTGCGTGTGCATTGGTGAGTAAATGACATGCACAAATTTTAAAAATTGGCATCTGCCTAATGCAGGTAATTTAGCCATACGGCGATACGGCCTCTTGGTTGTGCTATACCGAGAAGGTGAATCAGTGCTTGGTGATGCGCCCAGTGAGAAAATTTTGTTGAACTAGAGCCTTGTCATTCCAGTTAGTGTTCCTTTTTAAATTATTGTTATCAGGACGAGCTAGCAGAAATTATTAACATTTGACAGCACCAACACGTCGGTTGTGATTCTATGGCTTTGAAATTGAAGAAATACAAGTCCTCACTCATTACCTTAACACTTAGTTTCATAGTATCCTTAGACACACGGGGTCGTACCAGCATGTAGGCAGCTGACACAAACAAGCCCGTTATTCATTATCAACTCGGATGCCCACTGTCGACGAGGGCTTTCATTTACGTGTAATGTGTATGTAACCAAGGCGCGAACAACAGGTGCATACAACGTACACATTTTCCTCATTTTGAAGTTTACGGTGGTAACATTTGATGAACCAACAATGTGTCATTTTGACCACTGCTAATATTATAGTTAGAAGGATGGTATGAGCTTCACTTTCGATGGAAGGCTGAGAAAGGCGAAAAAAAAAACTCTCTTTTAATTGACATTCAGTTCATGTGGTGCAGTCACTTCGGCTCAGTCAAAACCTCTTCTCTTTCATACGGTGCCACTTGTCCTTGTAATTCAGCTGTTGACAAGATGAATGCTAGGCACCGTAGGAGATTCTCGAATGTATCTTGTACTCTCAAATAAACTTAGCTTCGTTCGTGAACGCATAGTCTTTGTATAATTAAAGTACAGCTGCAGATGGTGCAAGCTTGGGCTCCGCTTCATACATCAGGTGCCATTTCTCAAAAAAGTACGCTGGTAACGAGCCACATTGGTAGGTAAAAGCATAGAAGCGTACCTACACTCGAGAGCGTTTGGCTGATAAATTGCCAAAAAATTATGTTCCACTGATGCTGACATATTGGCCGTTCAAGCAGAATCTCCGCGTCGTATCATTTTCTGGCTCCACCACCGAGATGGAGGCGCATATTTTCAATCTTCTCGTCATCGAGACCCAACCATTCTTTTCTCCACCACCGAGATACAGGCGCATATTTTCAATCTTCTCGTCATCAGAGACCTAACCATTTTTTTCACATGCATGTTTGTAAAACAAAAGTCTAGTTAGGACTTCCGGAGGATTCTTCAAAAATATGTTTTCACTATTTATCCCCGGCGCTCAAGCAGTTTCACTAATTTTCTTATAGTATGCTGCATCATTTGTCGTTGCAGTCATTTTATGACATTCCTGATAAAGCTCTCTTCCACTGAAGTTTTTGCTTGCACAGTGCGTTGGCACGAAGGCTCCAAGACCCAGCCCGTGAGCTCCTACAGTTTCAAATCTACAGTTGCGGATCTTTTAACGAGAAGTTATTCATAGCTAATAGACGCTTCTGGCAGCAAAAATTCAGTGAGGCCAGCTGTTGCCGCAACGCTGGCAAGGTTCTTAGCTGGCTCACCTTTACTTGGTAGCTGGTGGGCTTATTCAAGCTAACGACATCCGGTCAACGAGGAATCTCCTCTACATGTCAGCTTGGCGTCCCTCAAGGTAATCAACTGAAACATTAAGCTACATAGAGACGAATGTCATCCTCCATACATTCTCCAAGTTGATGATGATGATGATGATGCCTCAAATATGGCTCATATCCACTGAGGGGGATCAGCCAATAATTGGTTACATGAGTTAGTGGAACATTTCTAGTATCGAATACTGATGAAAAAAATAATGAAAATTGAACGAAAAGAGCGCAATATTTGCTTTCCTCCCATTCAGATCAGAAAATATATCTGTTATATTGACTACAAATGAAAGTAATGGAAAGTAAATTATAAAGAATAGCTTATTTATGTTAAAATATTGTGGCACTTCTAAGACACCAATATCCAGTTTAAATATTATTTGTTTAGCTTCGTGAAGGCAAGCACAAACGGCATCAAACGAGCTTTTGCGGCTGAAGCACAAATCCGAAGCACCGAAGGTAAGTATATTGTCACTTGTCAAGTTCAGCCCCAGTTTTAGAAAATGAGATAAGAAGAAGTCTGTTTCTTGGGGATCCGTACCAGCGACATTCAACCCACCTTCATCTTCGTCGCTCTGTTCTTGACCCTTCGATGCACCAGGCACAGAGAACTTCATGAACATCACAATATGCCTGTTCATCATGCAGCTCTCACATGGTGGCATATTAGGGATTATCGTACACCGTGGTCTATGCTTTGCGGGTGTGTGCCCTAAATTATTCGCTTCCTATGTCAACACAGCACACTGATAATAGACATTTGCGCTGTACAAATTGAGAAAACTGCTACAAAGTGTTTTTTAGCTGCTGATAGTAATGTGCATTGTGCAAGAAGAGCTTAGACATTTCCCCCTAGGAGTCAGCAGGCTATAGGTTAAAGTTTTTAGTCCCCTCAGCAGTAGACTACCAATGGCTGCTCATACTCCTTTTCAAAAAAGTAACAAACCAGTTGTAACTCGAGTCATCCGCTCGTGAGATTCACCGTTTAATACTTCAGTCGGACTGCAGCATCAAAAGGTACTCGCTGACCACTAGACATACTATGTCTTTTTACGATGAGTGGACCTAAGAATTTCCTCATTCGCAATGAGCCAGGCCTTATGATGCGGATAGACATATTTGTGTAATTTTTGTTCAATTAAGCATACTGGGGCATTACCAGACACGTCGACTGAAATGCACGGAGTTTAAGTGGTAGCTCTGTGTCCGAGTGGGCAGTTTTATGTGCTGATAACCGACGTTGAGTCACAGGATTACGCGCGTAACGTTTATTACTTTGTCATAAAGTATATAGCGAACACGGCAACTACAATCAACGTTAGACAAGCAACACCACGATGACAAGTGTTCACCAACGGCAGGCGTAATAAAAACTTTTTTTTGAGTCAGCGCCACATAGTAGTTGACTAACTATTACGCCTCATATTATTTTAAAACATTTTAAGTCCAGAACTGATGTAGACTGTGAATTACCTGCGGCGCCTACCCACATACGATGTGCAGTGAAAGATTGGTGTGTGCCACACGTTGTCGTAGGAAAAGGCTCCAGGTTCTAAGCAGCAGAGATATCGTAAGCTGAGGCATACCATGTGAAGCATGCTAGTGACAAGGGCAGGCACACAAACACGGATAGATAGAGATGCAGAGAGATAAAAAGTTTCAATGTGCATTTGATTCACAAACAAACATTTCGTGTGTATACAACTAATACCAGAGAATAACTTATTATTTTCATTTCTCATTCACTGAAAAAAAGGGATCCCGCTTGCGTAAAACAGAACATATACAGTTCAGCAATGTATAGACACATTCTTCTGGACAGAAATAAAACTTTAGGATAGAGTTGTCATACCATTGTTAATATAAAAACATCCGTTCTTAGATGTAGGAGCAATGATAGGCTTTTAAGCAATGTCTATAGAGAAGCACAAAATATATTGTGTGTTTTCAGACTGAAAAACGTCAATACGAAGACAAAAGAATGCCACGTAGAGAACCTTGGGAGCTTGGGAGACGTGCACAACTGATGCATGCACTGAGCGCTCATGCATTGTCTGGAAGCGTCCCTGCCAAGTTAAATATATTCGTGCGTTTTTCACTGAAGAATCTGCCAGGTCACTTTGACGAGAACGGTTCTTTCACCAACTAAGCAGGTTCAGTGACGAAAGGCTGGCAGTCTTCTAAACGTAAGAACGTTTTATTTTTAGGTACCACATTATCTGTGTTTCATTGGATTACGTGTAGTTTTGGTGAACGTGAATTAAAGTGACAGATAGCTTTTATACCATAACGTAGTTGTACCGATTCTAAAGTGTTTGGTGAAAAATATAGAGAAAAATATACTCAACATAAATTCTCGATAGTACGGTTTTCAGGTTCGTTAAGGCGACTGTCACATGATAGCTAAAGTAAAGGCACTACGCATAAAGTGATGGAGTAGAAAATCTTGAGGGCCACAGTTAACTTGAAGTGCTTGTGGCTCACTCACAACCAACCGATTTCATCTACAGTGAATCTACTCTTACAAGTAGGAAACGTATCAAGAATTGCTGTAATATAATCAATTAGTAGAGCAACGCTGTTTGCGGGCAATCTCACTGAAAATCCAAATGCGCATATGTTAAAAGAGTATTGATCACAGACGTACATAACCTGGAAAACTAGCCTGTGAGCTCTTATTTAATAATAGACACCCGTAATGTAACAAGAAAACCAACCTGTAAATAGCGGGTCAGTGCGCAACGGACGATGGTTTGCAAAAGTATTTTATGAAATCAAATGCCCGCCCACCTACCTATATATGCTGCACGTAAAACTATATTACACGATTTCGGATGTCCGTGACATTTGACCACTTGAAGAGCACGTTGTTTAATAAACTGCTCATATTTGGGCAAGTTCTAGCGAACCTCGGATGATAAACAGTGACGCGTCACTGAGGCAGCAGAGAACGCCTCAACAAGCAAGATATTATTACGAAAGCCTTGCCTAGTGCTATGCGAGCGGGAATGAGCATTTGTTAAATGCTTATTTCGACGCTTGGATGAAAGTAACCCAACGTTGAGTGAATCACATTCTTACCTTTGTTTAATCTATTTCGTTTCGCTGCACAAGTTTTACGAATAAATGTGATTGAAATTAGTTGCGAGGCAGCGCCTACTTTGTTTACAGTTCAATCCGTTATTTTTTGCACTTTGTTATTTTATTGATTAGGGACAGCAGCTCATAGGTGCGTGAAGATTCTTTCACTAAGTTTTTAGAATAACGCGCTTGTTTGGAAGCTCATGCGTGAATCCACCGAAGGTCTCAGGAACGTTGTGATTTATTTCCTTAATATAAGAATTATTGTAAAGAACTATGTAAAAGCAAACCCGTATTATTCACTATCGTATTGGTTGATTAACTTTATCGTCGTTCTGAGGATCAGTCAGAGACTGTTTGAGACTTGCGGCTCTGACGTCTGGATAGAAAGGCCAAGCTCATCTGCCGCGCCTAGAGTATTTTTTTTAACACAACAAGGTACAACAGTACAGTAACTGCACTGACTAATAGGCTGCACCGATCGTTTAGCAGTCTGTCAACTGCTAAAATTTCCCTTAACAAGTTGCTGTATCTTAGAGTTAGTGCAGAAGAAGAACTCATCAGTACATATTCATCAATGCGTAAAAGTACGGATAGCCAAGTAGAGCTGTCTCAATAAGTAAACATGACAAAGTCAATAAGCCGATAGAGCAAGACAGCTCAATTTTATTGACTCCATAAAAATAGCTAAAAGTTTGGACTTAGTATTTGATATTTACGTAATACTGAGCTTGTTTTCTGTGTTTACATAAAAAATTCTAACACAAACAAAGAAACTGCACATGAGCATTACCCAAACTTTTATAACAGAATTTTAGGTGGCTGAGACGATTGTCTCAGATGTTTGGCACCAAAATTAGTTTTTCTTTACTAATATACAGAGGTAATTATGGCGCTAGGGTCTAAGCCGGCTTCTTCAGTGGCGCTTGTATCCTTATGGGAATTATGGAAAGCACAGGCTTCGGATCTACTTCAGATGTATTACGTTCTTAAAAATTGCGACGCTTGTTTGCATTGTTTAAAGCAAAAATATATAAAGCTGTATCTAAGTGAAGCTTTCTTCATTCATTGGTAATATATGTTGTTGCAAAAAAAAAAAACTTCGTGCCCATAGGGTAGGGGTGAAACCTTGACAAATTTAACCACAAGGGTATGCATTACTCTGCCACTGCATTCTCAATTTGGCTTCAAGGTATGATGAGTTATTTTTAGAACACTTGAAAACAGACATGATTTTCTTGCCTTCGGAAGTACACGTTATCTACTTATAGAAAAACGTCACAGCTTTGCCGCAAAGGCAAAGCAAAGCACCCGATAGCAACAAAATTGGAAGGACACGCGCAGAATGGCATGTATATCAAAACGTGCCCCGCGTTTCTCACGCACGAATTATGCACGAAACGTACTAAAAATACAGATGAACGCAACTTAGCGTTTCAGTTGTTACTTCGCGTGTGTCTAAAAAGGGCGCCCCTTTCGCAAACGGAGACTGTGCAATGATTGCAGGAACCTTTGTTCACCTGGTAACTACAACAGAATCATTCCGGTGAAAGCCCACGGCCAGTCAAGATGCACGATTGTCTCTACCGCGAGATAAGCGCACCCGGTAGCATCCACCCTGCTCCCTCTCTGCGAGGCAAAGTACGGGTGAGAGATGAGGGCGCGCGCCGCCACGTCGTGAAAATCTGGCGACGTACGCTCATGGCGCCATTTTGCTAATAATGCTAAAAACACAAGATTTCTCCCTAAGATGCCCGTCTCCAGCAATAGGTGGCAGTTATAAATAGCTTGTCGTTTGAACGTTGAAGGATATGCTCCTTCGTGCCTCAGTGGTTAACGCCTCGCACTCACAAGTCAGAGGTCCCACGTTGGATACGGTGCGCTGGAGTCTTCTTCTCATTTATTTTTTTTCGTGCGTTTTTAATATATAGATATACGTATAAATATACGGTGACGCTGACGTCGACACCGACGGCGAAATCCAGTGGAGAGTGTGCATATGATTGCTGTATAAATAAAACAGTACATTGTTAAGAGAGAAACAATAATATTTTGTTTGCTGCGATGCCTGGTGAGTCTGTCTAAATGGTTTACCACCAATTCACCTCTCATTTTGTTGTGAAGTTGAATCAGAGGACCGTGACAGTGCGCCGTCGTTTTGCATTCTTTTTTAACGAGATGTGGCACGATTCACTTACGAAAAAAAAAACGTCAACTCGGTGTGATATTCGCAGCATTAAGTGAAACGGTGTTTCGCCTAAGCTATCAAATACGACTTGTAACCTACCAAAGCCGCAGAAAATTTTAAACTTAGTGGTCTTGAGCTTCTTTGATCTGTAAAGGCGCTCATTCAGTGCTTTGCAGCGCACCCCACCACAAACGCGGTGCGAATAACGAAACTTTAAGAGCAGAACAAAATGCGTATCCAGTACGCGAGCTAACACTATCTAATTTGAAGCCTGTACTTACGATAATTTTCAAAGGGGTACACGATTGCAGCGTCAAATTCTCTTTAGGTATTGTTGTACCAAACTATATGGCACCAAACGTCTCAAGACTTTTTTTATTTTTCACGCGTTACTTACAATCAGCTATCATGGAGGTAGCACTAAAATATGACCACTGCTTCATGCCCATTCTCAGTTAAGTGTTGTCGTGACGCAAGTACAGCTACCTAATGTTCTGGAGGGACGCTTTCTGTCATGTTTAGGCGCAAAAGTGTGCACGCTTTGCCAATGGAATACTAACCATTGACATAATTTCAACATCAGAATGCTAAGAGTAGCTCTTACAACTTAGTAGTAAATCAAATGTGGCTAGCTAAGCATGAATATGAGAGATTGATACCAGTTGTACAGCTTATGACACCAAACAACCACGTCAAGAACAAGGCAAGTTTGACAGTGGAACTAGGTTACCTTTACTGAATATCATAGCTTAATCAACGGGTAAACATAAACCAGTATATAATTCAGCGAAAATACAGGATGCCAAAAAGGAGCAACACGTGCATGGCATCTTTTCTGTGTCCACATTTTGTACTCTGAAACGTTCCTTTAAATGCTTGCCACCAGTAATGATTGGTGTGGATATTTTCGTTTCTTCCTCTAAATGTCTCAAGTGCACATTCTCTTCCTTTTCAAGACGCAAGCAGTCTTGAAAACAAACGGTACGTCTGCTCTCATACCAATCAACTACCCGCTCGGGACATGAGAGTTTACGTTGGGAAAGGAATTGTGGCAATTAGGGTGCACTTGGTGGTTCAAAAATAAATCTGGCGGATCGCGTTTTCGTTTTATTTCTCGTTAAAATGAAAAACACGCAAACGCAGGCGTTGATGAAAAGAAAAACAAGACGGTACTCCTCATAATTAATTCATTTGCGTGAGTAAATCCTTGTAATCATCCGCGTAGAAATTCGAAATGCGCACAGGATGCATGCACAGTAGCGGAAGAGATGAGACAGGACATGACCGCACTTGACGTGGTCTTGCCATTCTCTCGCCACTTTCTAGGTAAAGCAGAGCGCTGGCGGCTGTAGCGTGGAGTATATATTTATTAAACAAAAGCCTATTGTGCTATTGGACGCAATGAGTCTTGTATTGATCGTCCCCCTAGCAAAAGGGAACAGAGAGTGCCGTAACCAAGGAATTCGACGGCTTCATTTTCATTTAGGTATTCGATGACTGGGCGGAGAATTCAATGTGCATTGTTGTACAACAAATTAACGCTTCGAAAATGTATACTTAATGGACGTTCCCTGTCGGCGTCCACTGACATGACTGCTCTAAAAAAATTGTGATGTAAACCGCCTTTCGGCCGCCTGTGCAACACCATCCGGTGAATGAGCGCTGAGGTTCTCGGAAAATACTGAGTCTATTTTAAGAGTAATCAACGCTGAACGCGATAAAAAATAATGTGTCTTTCGTCTTTCCTTTCAGTGCCGAGGCTACAAGGATTATGATGGCAAATTGCTTCATGATTTTCCACGTTCTCGTATTAGCATCGATTATCCGCGTCTATCCTGTAGAAGCTGAGGCATCATCCGTGATCAGTGGAGGTTCCGCAGCTGCAGCAACAGCTGCGACAGCAGCTGCAACAGCTCCTTCAGCCGAGAAAACTGCACCAGTGCTAGAAAAGCCTTTCGACAATGCAGAAGAGAAAGTGAAAGAACTGGAGAGTATATTACACTATATTAAAAGTAAGCATACAGTTTCGTTTCTTTTAGCAAATCAGAACACATCACTTTAGTTCAAAAATTTTCCCCTGCCGTGGCAATGAGGAACGTCATTCGTGTACGGGTCTGGAATGCTTCACTCTCGCCATTACGTCAGTTGGTGAACTCGTGAAAACATTTGCTTTATTTTTGCCAGGAAAATCACGAAGCAATTATGAGCACGTCATGATGGGAGCCTAAAGGTCAATTTTGAACATCTGGTATTTTTTAACAAAGACTTAAATGCAAGTTTTGGGGGTTTGATGCATTTTATATCTTTTAAAATGTGACAGGCGTGACTAACATTCAAACAGGCGCATTCGAACTCAGAGATGCATAATTTTACGTGCGGCGATATAACAGTTGACACTCGTCAAAGCTTTCTACGTCTGGCAATTTAGAAAGAGAATCTGACGAGGATACACTATGTGCACCAATGCTCTAAGTGCACCTACACCTGATTAAAATGGGTTAACGCTACATAGAAGCATCACTTGCACACTGTAAAGTAGTCCTATAAACACAGATAACATAAAAATCAAATTTGTGCGTCTTCACCTAGCTATATAATTCAAAAGTTCTATAAAAGGAATAATAAATAGCGGCACCTGGTCGAAGTTCATGGTGGAGACAAAGATAACGTTTTAAGATGGTATATGCTTTAGTAGTGGGCACTACACCGCGTTATCTATTCAGGTCTCTTGAAACTTAAACGCAAACGTCGATCTAAACCAACAGTCAATCAAGTCAAGGAAAGTGTTGGGGATGTTATTTGCAGGAACAATGGTAAATATCTGAAAAGTTACCACGGACAAAAAGTAAACTTGTTGCAAGCAGGAACCAAACTTGCAACATTCCAATAACTACAACGCCTTCATGTGCCGGCCTCCGTGGGCCTTGATGGAGGGAACATGAAGACTCCCAACGAATAACACGTACGAAGCTCTGCCAATTGAGTTAAGGTGGCGGATGTCTTCACGTGAACTGTAATTGGTATACCTGTGAATTTAGACTTGAGAGTGCTCGAAGTAGAGCATAGGACATATCATTAGACCAGAATAAAAATCACTTTTATTTGGACACCACAGTCCAATATATACAGATGTTGAGAGCCATGAGATAAGAGCCACTGAATGGCTTGACGAGGCCCACAGTCTCTTTGAATTTGGAACCAACAAAAAGCAACCTTAACCCGGAGCACCAAAATATATACTTTTGTCCTTTGCAGGTTCGTTCGCTGCCGAAGAAACGCTCCCTTTTCGTTCGCTTTAGGTTCTTCGTATATGAACATAATTACTACATTAAGGTCCGCTCTAACTTCCTTGGCTTGATTGTCTCATTGTGCTCATTTCAGTTGGGTCTTTGAAAAAAAATCTCTTGAATTTACGTTCTTTCACTTGCCCACAGACTGATATTCGCGAATCTCAGGCTCAGGGAATCGGCTCCACTATGCATCACCATTTGTGAAAGCGATACACCTCAATCAAATGCCATCGTTTATAATAGGTGATCGGTTAACAGTTTGTATACTGGTCATTTCTTTTGAATAACGGTTCAGAACGCACCCTTTTGGTAGCGCATCAACGCAGTTGTCATATGTTTCTTGAGCTTTCCTTAACAGCCAGAACAAACTACCACGCAGCACGTACTCAGCCTCGACAGCTTGCATTATTCCTATTGCAATGGGCTCTACTACGTAACGAGTTGCATTTCGCCTTAAAGCAATGAGAAATTTGCATAACTGGTCTTCGGTAAATAGCTAATTAGGAACAATATGACAAATACTGTAGTGAGCATCACATGAACACAAGTCTTGCATTCAGTTTCAATCCCCTATACATAAATATTCCAAAGCTCCTGCACGCCCAAAACAAAAATACCATCCGTGCCATTCTTTATCAATATACAAGCCACACCTGCACACCACCCGTGTTTAATCTCGTCTGACAGCGCATGCACCGACTAGGGGCCACCGCCGAGCCACGTCCAGAGGCGGAGAAGTCCGTGCAGCCTTCACGCCATGCTTGCCGGCACGGCGCATGCAGAGTAGGAAGGACTAAAAGGGCCGCGATTATACCCGGATTGCCACAGCTAAGTTTACATGTTAGCTTGTGGAGCTCAAATTTGGCAATTATTGCCTTTTCTGTGGTGGTCCGTGATTCGAATCCACTCTGTCTACGCTAATGAAAGACCTAGCATCAGCAAAAAGGCCACGTTAAGCTCGCAAGGTCGGCCAGCTTCGCTGTTCCTTGAGATTTCTAGTGCCAGTGTAAAATTGTTGGTTTTATTTATTTATTTATTTATTTATTTATTTATTTATTTATTTATTTATTTATTTATTGCTACGCTAAACACTATACGTTCAAGTAGAAGAGTGTGGTGTCTGTCTGGGCTTGCTGGTGCACGGCAGCTTGGCTATACGACGTGCATTACAACAGTGGGTCACCACGTAAAGGTTAATCTGGTAAAATGAAACACTGATGCAGAGCCTGCTACCTATCACGAGTTCGATTGATGTTAGTTCCAGGTTTGATAATTATCTTCGGCGATTCGATTTTGTTGCAGAATTCAGACATAGTGATGTTCCTCTGAAAGCAAAAAAAAAAAAAGCAGCACTTGCACAAAGAACCCTCGAGGCTTAGGTTTAAACCTTTTTTGTTTGTTTGGACGCATGCTAGAAAGTTTATTTTCAGCAAATTAAGCTGCTGTTTTGTCAATATAAATTTAGAATTTCAATTCCTTCTTACACATCACCGCATGTTAAAGCCACTGCAAGAAAGAACTTAGATGATATTATACACAAATTTAGAATTTTGATTCCTTTGTACACATCACCGCATCTTAAAGCCACTGCAAAAAAGAACTTATATGATATTACACGCGCATTTCAAGCCTCTTCAGCAGCGAATTTGTCTTGCAGACAACAATCATCCTCGACAGTGCAGCGATCTTTTACGTGCTGGTCAGCGGAATGATGGTATATATACAATATACCACAACAAAGCACCTCAAGGACAGGACGTGTACTGCAACATGAAAGCCGATGGGGGAGGGTGGACGGTATGTACACCAGTTTTTATTCGAAAACTATTGCTATAAAAGCCTATAAAATGTAAGTTGTGCCAGAGATGTGTAGATGGGACTTAACTAGGTCGCATACTTGCCTGCACCATCTCGTTACTACTGTCGTGTAACAAATTCTAAACCTTTAAACGAGTACCGAAAAATAGGAGCCGCTAGTATGATAACATGCTACAAGATTACCATTTAGGTGCTCTTTAGGTTTGTGTGGTAACGTCGATAGATCAAGACTAAGTCAGCGCTTTTTTTCAGAAGAAATGAATATTTTCTGCACTGACTTTTTTGGAGTCCATATCAAGCCAAGTTTCATTTACTACATGCAGTAAGCAAAAAGTCCACCCTGGCTGAAAAGCTGTAAATATAGAGCTTGCCGAAGCCAGGGAGCGAAAACCAGACAGCAACTGCAGTGCACATATAGACAATGCAGACAAATATTTTTATTATCATTGAGACACATTCTGGTAGCTCAATTCATTATGTTGTAAACTGAGGCTAGCGGAAAATGCACTCCTTAGCCACAAAACAATACATTAGAAAAATAGGCCTAAGCTAGCTCTCTTATCTGAAAGTGCATCGTAATACTTGGGCGTCATGTTAGCCCTGAAAAAGAACACTTGGGGTATGGCAGTTTTCCAAATGTGACCTCACGGCAAGGGCTCGCTTAATTCGCGACCGAGTATTGCCTTTTTCAGCGTCACCGTTACACGTTCTTTCATGATACCGTGGTGGTCACTGCTCATTTTGGTGACCAAATCTACTGGTGTAGAAAGTGGGCCATTTCACAGCTACTCAAAGTTAATAAAGATCAAAACTTGGGATACTATAGCTTATAATGGGCTTACTGTAAACCAAACGAAAGATTGATGATTCATTGATATGTGGGGTTTCACATCCAAAACCCACCTTTGGTTTATGACAGCCGCCGTAGTGGAGGGCTCCGAAAATTTCAACCACCTGGAGTTCTTTAACGTGCACCCGAATTTCCGTACACGGGCCTACAGCATTTCCGCCTCAATCGGAAATGCAGCCGCCACCGCCGGGATTCAATCCCGGGACTTGCAGTTAAGCAGCCGAGTATCTTAGCCACTAGACAAACACGGCGGGGCACCGAACGAAAGATTTAGTGCGAGAATGACGGTGCATGACAGGAAAACATTTGTTGTTTTTACCTCTTACTCTGGTAAATTAGGACTAGAAAAAGATTAACGCCAGTTGGTATAGCTTCATTTTGACTTCATTGAAATTTGGCGCATACTCCTCAGTTAGCATACGTGTTCTCAAAGAATACAATTGTAATGAGGGAGTTTTCAATTGACTGGTTACGTTGCATGCAGTTTATCGCGCTAGATAAATATGCCTCCGTATATTACTTAGGTGATTGGACTGTGCTGCGCTTTCTGCTGCAGCAGATATTTTCTGAACCTCTCTTAACATACAACAACATACACAACATGCCTTTACTACTCATGTCGGTGGTAATTCGGCTGTCATAACGGAGAATCGAACCAGTCCGCTAGGATAGCAGCACGACACAAAGAATGGGATCAAAGTGTCTACGACAGAGCGCAACCATCATTGTGAAGTGTACTGCAAGAATGCATAGCGTTTTGTCATTTTGTTTTCGTCATTCTTTTGAAGCACGAGACAAGTGAAAAACGATCCCCAACAGTGAAACAGCATGTGAAGTGAACGCACGTTGAACATTCCTACAGCTGGACTGCGCCACCTAAACATCTCAGGGCTTTGTGCATCTAAGCAGCGACAAGTAGAAAGTACATAAGCGAAAACTCTTTCCTCTTAAAAATGCCGTTTTGTTGACGGAATCTCGTTGACAGCATCTCGCATCTTAAAGAGAATTTTCGCGCTTTTAGCAGAACAATGAAAACACTCAATTGTTGAGGCCTTTCAAAATATTTCACGCAGTAAATTGACGCTAAGTTACCGTTTAGATTTACGTAAGGATGCAAACCTAATAGAACAATTTATGTGTGGAAATATTTGAATGAACACACCGAGAGAACCATCATCGACCTAAAGAAGCACATAGTATAAAGTGCGGTGGTGGCATCAGCTAGGCGATTTTATGCAGCGTGCACGTGCTGCACTTGCCCTTATTTGTTATATTTGTACCATAAGCCTGGCGAATTGTTATTGTATATGTAGGAAGATTTTTTCGGAATAGCTCGCAAATTATGCCTTCTGGGCGATAAATTAGTGCGAAATGTGGAGACAATGAACAAATCGCCAATGGCGACCTTTCTTATTCGGGCTTCGCATATCATCGATTCCCACTGCACGTGGGATCCGTCAATTTTTTTATTAATACAAGCTAATGCCAGATGAGTTCATTCACTCATTTCGCGTTTCTTCTAAGCACCTAAATGCCTTGCCAAATGGAAATATTTTATATGAAGTTACTTATTTAAAATTTTTGCTGAATTCAGTATAGCACAAGACAGGCAGATGTTTGGTTAACATATTTTTGGCGACCTATCTATGCCCAGCAATCGGTATCTTATCGTATTGCTGTACTTCTTTTAACCTTAAATACACATGAATGAAACCCGGACAACTTGTCTCCTCGCTCCTTTTTGACTAATTCATTTCGTTTGATCTCGCGTATTAATTCCAGCGTAGCATCAGTATGTGTGCATATACCAAATGTACATATATGTTTAGCAGTTAACATAGAGTTTGATATGTACATTACCTTTTTTTTCTTTTATTTGGTTGCAATTGGTAATTGCCACATACCACTTTAAAACTATTTTGTGCATATATATTTTTGATGTCATGGCTTAGCGTTGTGTTACACTTATAAAAAAAAGTCGACATACTACATGCACGTCTATGCTGTTGTATTACTCTTTCTTTTGTTCCCATAGTTATGCAAAATGCCTTGCCCTATTGTTAGCATGTCTTGTACTGTAGTCATTGTGGCATATTGTCCAACTGCACCACTGGCGGCCGGGCTTAGTGAGGCAGCAGTTAGGCAGCTTTTTCCCGCAACCTGATCTCGTCTTGCTTAAATAGAATAAAGTTTTGATTCGATTTAATTTGATTCAATAGTTCGTTGTAGATAACTGTAACTATGCAATAAACCACTACCAAAACAACAGAGTTTGCAGGTGAGTATGCTCATCTAATATATATTATTGAAACGTTGCTCTCGAAGAACTTTACTGCAATTTACTTTACTAGAAGCTTTGTATAAAATACCGGTGCATTATAAGCGTTATAAAAACCCCATAGCTTTCTCACGCAATAATGCATCATTGATTGCTTTAGGAGTTGCAACTTTTTTATGCAGGTCATACAAAGGCGTGGGCAGTTCAAGAATAGAGTTTTCCACTTTTATCGAAATTGGACCGAATACGCAAACGGGTTTGGAGACCCTTCACAAGAATATTGGATTGGTGAGTTTCCTGCAACCGGTAGTGACCTAATGAGAACGTAATTTATTGAAAATTCTTGTTTCGTGTAGACAGCGAAAATTGATCCTTAGCGCACAGAACATGAGAATAGTTGCGGAAGTTTTTTAATGTCAGCAAAGAAAGTTTTTGTGCCGTATGCTGTTGTGTAACTAAGAAACATTTCTGTTCAATCTTCTTCGGTGTTTCAAGGGTAACTCTTGCAGCATCAGTTATGCCTGTGTGCCCACACAGTGTACACAAAAAATTGTATGACCTCTGCTTTCCCTATTACGTTCATGCTTAAGTTTCGGCAATTTATCAAACATTCACTACTAGCACTCGAGAACATAGACAGGGTTCTGTAGAATTCACCGTTATACCAATGAATAACAAAGTGCCCATAGAGACATGCAAAAGCAATTTTTGCTTACGGTGTCGGTGTCGTAATTTTCGCGGTGGTTCGAACACTGCTTAAGTCCCATTACATACCGAAATATTGGTAGCGCGAGCTAACAAGAAGCAAAGGGAGTAGACAAACAAGCGCAGACTAAAACTTGGTTTATGCACCAAAGATAATATATGCCAAAAACACAAGGAGAAAGGAAAAACAGAAGGTGGGAAGGTTCAACTTTGATTAAGTGTCATCTAGAAAAAACATTTCACAATCTAAAAGGAATAAAAACAGTGAGCTAAAACAACTCAATATTATTGTTTACAACAAAAGCTTCCGCAATCTCACTAGTTTTTGCGTCATGATAATAGACACGTGAGGAAAATTTCAGGTAGGATTAATTATTGATATGTAGGGTTTAGCGTCCCAGAACCACTATAGGATTATGGGAGACGCGGTAGTGGAGGGCTCTGAAAATTTCTACCACCTGTGGTTTTTTAACGTGCTCCCAAATCTGAACACACGGGCCTACAACAATTCCGCCTCCGTCGGAAATGCAGCTGCCACAGTCGGGATTTGATCCTGCGACCTGTGGGTCAGCAGCCGAGTACATTAGCCACTGGACCACCACGGCGAGGCAAAAATTCAGGTACGCAACTACACTTTGTCCAATAGGCGGTTTTTGAACGGCACTTCATCACTGTGGAACCTTTTCTCTCCTATTTTTTTTGTGTGTGTGTGATAGCAATTATATCAGTACTCTAGGCTGGTTGTTGCCGCCGGCGTAAACTTCATCCATCATATATGTATACGTATCTATATACATGAAAACTCAAGAAAGAAAGAAAGAAAGAAAGCCGCCCGCGCTCGGCACCCCGCTCGTCGCGATGCGTTGACGCGTGCTCATCTCCCATGCGTACTTTGCCCCGGAAAAAGAGCGGGAGGAGGGGAGTTGTGCGCGCGCTTATCTTTCGGTGGAGAAAATCGCGCGCCTTCGACTTTCACCGGACTAATTGCGTTTAATTGGTGGGCGCGCAATGATCACTTTGCTCGCTGGACAGGTGCCATAAGCAAAAAGAGTGTGCTTTTCAAACACAGCGAAGTAACAACTGGGACACATGTTATTTTGCACTCATATGTACCTGGGGTTACGTTTGGTGCGTCGTTTTTGTTTAAACAGCATGTTAAGTGTCGAGCGGTAAACGTTGTTAGTTCGCTCTCATTCGGTGTGTGTTGTTTTTGCGCGTCATTTGTGCGTGCACAGTGCGCTGCACGTTTTTATCTGCAAGCCATCTTCAGCGTTAAGGCCAGTTCCCGCAAGCGGCAAGTCTGCCCTGACGGCGCGGTGCCGTAGAGCGGCGGCCAGTGCCGCCCGCAGGAGAGCTGTTTCAAGTGCACAACAATCTTCGCTGGTGAGGTATTTCAGCCTCCGACAAACATGGCCGCTCATCCGTATACAGTTGTTGACCACCTCGAATATATCAAGTGGCCACCGTGCGCTCTATAGCATGTAGGCTTCAAACGGACACTTTCATTCGCTTTTGACTCATGTCCTCAAGCTTCGACAACGCAGTGCTCGAATCTATTTGGCCTCGTTTTTGAGAGCCGTTCTGAAATGATCAATCTTACAGTCGTACTAACCCACCTGAATCTGAGAGGGCATAACACTTGTTAGTTGTTTACAACCTTGGACAGGAGGCGCCACTAGCCCAGGCACCAGTTCTGCGACACGTTTTGTTTTAAGTTGCGCTTTCGTGAATGCCGGAGATGATAAAACGCTCTATTAAGTGCTGGAACCAAGCCTGAGAACAACACGTGCGACATTCACATTGATAGCATGAAGGGAACCCAACAGTTCCAAGCTGAACGGTTAGGTCGCTGGCACGCTCCGACGCCAGCGTAGCTCTGGCTGATCAGCCTTCTGTACTCAATGTCCTTAGTGGTGCCCCGTCCCCAAACTACCTCGACCGTGTTTACCGTGTCTCCCATCTTTCCCATCTGTTCTTTATTTCTGTCACTCTTCTGCGGCGAGTGCTCTCTATTCTTCATCTCTTCCCTCTTCTCCCTTCTCTGACAAGACACTGTGTCGTGTTGCCTATACGAAGGGAGAAGTTAAGTGCCGCTTTTATTTCTGCAACAACCACGCATTCATTCAGTAGATCGTGAAAACCCCTGAACAAGAAACAAATAGCTCGAAGTGTCCCACGGCAGACGCAGACAACATGGAGAGCCGAAAGCAGACGACGCGGCTATCCCAGGTCGCTCCTCCGTCGCTGATTGGCTACGTCACTCTCCGGCAAACGGGGCAAAAATAGGTCTCAGACCCATTCTTTGAACGGCAAAGAACGGCGGACATGCGCGTATGAAACAGCCGTGCACGGCTGCCTGGGACGTCAAACGGCGAGGCATGCTTGCCGCCAGCGTGAATCGGCTCTTACAGTTCCAGTTATTGCTATCGAGTTTGTTGCTTCGCCCTTGCGGCAAAACTCTGACTTTTTCTCTTTCCCCTCGTGCTTTTTGGTGCAGTGTCTTCGGTGAGTAAATCAAGTTTTAAACTGCGCTCATCTGTCTTCTCCTTTTGCATCCCGTTATTTTGCGCTGCAAATACTTCAGTAAGAATCTATACCAACAGGCCCGCCTTTCGACCCTTTTTTTCATAACGTAAAGCCATTTACGTGGTTGACTTTTACTGTTTTTGTGTTACCATTGTATTAGACGTATAGCCACTGCCATATGCAAACCATGCTGTTATGCCTGGGAAGCTTCTAGCTTATTCTGGAAGTAAGGTAGCCATTATCTATAGGACCCGAATGTTCCAAGCCTTATGTATGAATTCCTCTCTCCCCTTCCCCAGTGCAGGTAGCCTACCGGGGCTCCTTGTGTTCCCTCTATCTCGATGTGTGTTACTAAACATCAGATTTCTGGTTGGCAGACGGCTCTCCTCGCCATATTTTATAACGGTTTTCTTATTTCGTATCTGACCTTTCATATCCTGGCGCAAATTGGCGCGACAAAGAATTTCCGGGTTTTCTGTTCTTTCTGCAGCCTTCCTAAACGTTAAAGTCCCGTGACAAAACCATCGCACGTAGCATCGGCTGCGCTGCGTCACCAAGAGTACGCATGAGACAAAACAGTTATTTTCAGTAGGGTGTGTGTGTGTGTGTGTGTGTGTGTGTGTGTGTGTGTGTGTGTGTGTGTGTGTGTGTGTGTGTGTGTGTGTGTGTGTGTGTGTGTGTGTGTGTGTGTGATTGGAAGCGTTGGGGGTTAGGGGTACCGTACATGTTTTCGAGCCTCATGCTGCATAGAAAGCCCAGACATTATCTTAAGAGAAATACGTCCTACTATACAGGTCAGAAGGTATCCAACTGAACATGTTCCAACTGGTATCCAACTGGTATCCAACTGGCAGTTCCCGTGAACAAGTTCACGGGAACTGCCATATTTTTGAATTAGAAGACTCGAAAGTGATATCCAACTGCTTTTACTTCACCTAAATCATTGATGTCCCCCCCTAGCGAGGTATTTCTGTGCCGATCCTCAGATCGGAGACATAGGGAGTTCAATATCGGCCCGCCTATTACCACACGATATTGCTATGTAATGGCGTCATAATAACGCCAGAAAGTTTGGTGGACTTCGACGTCACGATGACATCGTAGGGTGACTTCATCGTGAAATGATAATTTCTCTGGATCACTTAAGTTAAAAGAGCACTAAACATTGAAAAGATTTTTCTGGTACTAGTAAATTGCTCTTTCCCAGTACCAAGCTCCCCGACTAGGGCAAGAAGACTCTAGGTAAGCGAGAATACGTGCAAATAAAAAAGGTACTTGGTAACGCGACTTTGAAGTTTCAGCACCATTCGTGGTGATGTCCCATATTTTGACTGCACCTCCAAGTGTCTACGTAGTACTTTATTGGTAAAAATAAAGTGAAGTGTCCTCTGAGGGGATCGTATACTTAACATAACAAGTTTTAGAAAAGTCTGTGGCGCTACTGACGCCTAAGTAAGAATAATACAATTTGTAATCAGTATACCATGCGCGAATACTTCGGCTCAAATATTAAAGATGAAAGTTTGAACTTCATTTCCTCTGGTACTAGACCTACAATGATGAAATTAACGACATTGTAATTCTCAGTGCAGATTTTATCACTAATAATTCATTCATTGTTTCACATTGATACCCCTTTAACATCGATGTCGACGGTCACTTTTTGTGTTTTATGTGACATATGTCATATAAAAAAATTCTCATATCGCACATATGCCTCGGATCCCTTAATTTTGTATGAACACATATGAATCATATGTGTTATCGTATGTACATAAGAGATTATTGCATATGTAATACGTGGCGCGTAAAATGTTTTGCTAGGAATTTATACGTGATGTTATTGCCTAAAAACGCCGGAAGCACCCCGATTCGTATATAATATGCGGCCTTCGAAGAATGCGAAATCTTCAAAATTCGTGTGACCGTATTAGCTGCAGTGCGCGGGTATCTACATAACTTATGTTTCACTTCACGCTATCTCTAGGCAGTGAGAAGTAACTAAACATGCTTTCGAATTTGTCTGAGAACTACTCATTACACCTTGGTTGTGGATGCTTACATTGCCGTCATTCCCAGTGGTGTGTTCATCTGTGCCAGAGCGTGCAGACGCTGTGCTCAGTGATTATTCATTGCGCCAATGCTTACTGCCATATATAGAGGTGGTAAATACCTTCGAATAATATATGCATACTAGGCGCATTAGTGTCGCTCTCAAGGCGTTGCTCTTTAGGGAAAGAAGCCACTTATGGACAAAAATACTTATTCTACTACAGTTTCGAGGTACTGAACTCACTTGGGCTGGAGTCACTTGGGCTGCTGAGTTGTACCTCATGTTGGCGCTGACAGAAAGAAGTCTGAGCTTGCTCATGCATGTGCCACTGCAAGAGTAAAAACAGGATGACCCCTTTCACTTGCGTAGATACCCTGTACCAATTATCAAGAATGTTCTAAAGAACTTAGTGTATTATTTATTCCACGTATTTTTTTGTCATGTACCTTAGATAATATTAAGGTATTTAGCCAATCATACCAAAATAAAATAAAGACAGTTCAAGACCTGTGGTATCTGAACAACCAAGGTGGCAAGCAAGTGACACCACCTGAGAAATTTAGCTCATGTACTTTATTATTTATTTCACATTTTACCATTATTTCTCTGTTTCCACACGTTTGCCTTATTTTTTTTATCTCTTCGTATATTGTATGGTTGATCGGCAATAAGGCAGATAAAGACAAAAAAAAAAAGAAGGCGAAAATGAATGTCTACAGCTCAGGCACTCGTCCTTTTGTTTTTTAGTCGTCTTAAACGCACTTATTTGAGTTGAGCTGTTCATTGCAACAAACGATAGACTAGCAGTGTATTCTGTTTTTATTTACACCTTTACCTCATAAGTATTAGACCATGCCTTTTTGTGACCACTTTTTCAGCCCACTCGTGGCTCTACTATTGTGTACGTCACCATGCTATGATTTACGAACTCTCCTTCTGTTTTCTCTCCTCGTCACCCTGACGTGAGTTCCCATTACTCTCACTTGCCTATCCCATCTTCTCGCCGATTCCCGCTATACAAGGTCGTATAAAGTTTTACCCTCTCTGCTCCTCCTTTCGTTTCTTGTCATCCCTACATACCTTCTACTCGACCGCACCTCGCTTTCTCACCCCAATTCTGTACCACACTAGACATGGCTACGCTATGTCAGGTCTCGCTCGTCAGATTATTTATTCTTTATTTTTTATTCAAAGTTTACCCCGCATTGCCCGAAGGCGTTACAGCAGGAGGGTTACAGAAACGACATAAGCAATTCTTCATTCTTACAACACACTTGCATGGCAGAGAATTTATCTCACTTTTTAACAATTCTAACAAAAAATGAATTCGCGGACAGGGGGTTACAGAAACGACATAAACAATTCTTCGTTCTTACAGCACACTTGCATGGCCGACAATCCATTCCACTCTTTAACAGTTCTAACAAAAAATGAATTCACGAACAGGTTCGTCCGGGAGCGTATTTCTCTTATTTTATAAGCATGGTCAGTTCTAGATGAACGGTAATGAGGTTCCTTGAGGTATTTTTCTTTATTTATCCTTGTTTTTTTTCATTATATATCTGAAAAAAGAACTTCAGTAGCAGCTTTTGCCGACGCAAGGAAAGCAGTTCCCATCCAAGCTCATTTTTCATCTGAGTGCAGCTCTCCCCTCTCTTGTACCGTCTCAAAATGAACCTGGCCACCTGGTTTTGAATTTTTTCAATTTTATCAAACAATGCGGGTTGCAAAGGATCCCATACGGCACAAGCGTATTCCAGTATAGGTCATATGCATGGTAAATAGCCTGTACTTTTTAAAGTTCAGTTCCGAAGTGTTTAAATTACGTTGGATAAAGTTTAGCGCCCTTCCAGCTTTAAAACCACATCATCTACATGCGCATTCCACGAGCAGTCGGATGACAAGATTACCCCTAGGTATTTATAACTATCTGCTCTTTTTAGACGTTCATTGTTTAAAGTAGACTCTGTTTCCATAGGTTTCCGCTTCTTTGTAAAAGAGACATGGACACACTTCTTATTATTTAGGTTCATTTTCCACATAGAGCACCAATCTTGAACACGTTCCAAATCAGTTTGCAGTTGGGTAAGGTCTCTGTCATTTTTTACTTGTCTATACAGAACACAATCGTCTGCAAACAATCTAATATGTGATGAAATAACTGCAGAAATATCATTTATATAAACTAAAAATAAAAGTGGCCCTAAAACTGAACCCTGTGGAACTCCCGATGTAACATCAACATAATCAGAGCTTTTGCCGTTTAGGATGATGCATTGCCGGCGCTGGCACAAATACTTTTCAATCCAATTTAGGACAGCAGAATCTATATTTAGTAATTTAAGTTTGTTGCAAAGGAGTGAATGTGTTACCACGTCGAATGCCTTGCGGAAATCTAAGAAGATGCAGTCAGTTTGCCCCCCTGAATGAATGGTGATACCAGACCATGATAAAACTCAACTAGTTGTGTGGTGCACGACAACGCCTTTCGGAACTCATGTTGAACATTGGTTAAAAAGAAGGCGAAAATGAATGTCTACAGCTCAGGCACTCGTCCTTTTGTTTTTTAGTCGTCTTAAACGCACTTATTTGAGTTTTCAGTGAGGTGTTACATTATTCCAGAGTAGAGAATGTGTTCCATTACCTTTCACACTATTGATGTTAAAGAGATTGGTCTGTAATCTTCAGCATCCTTTTTCGATCTCCCCTTGTGGATTGGAACAACATGGGCAGTTTTGCAATCAACTGGTAGGAGACCTGATTTCAAAGATTGTTTATAAATTATGTGCAAGTAAAGAAAGATTGGTATCCTACTTTTTATTTATTTATTTATTTCAGTATACTGTAAACCCCAAATGGGGTTTTTACAGGAGTGGGTACACTAGGAGAAATAAAATAAACAAAGACACTGCCATGCTACAATGCAAATTAAGGTGAAGACGAGATCACATTCGTCAGTAGAATGTATACATGCCTTCCTTGACATAGATAATCAACTGATAATATACATGCTGAGCAGAGTAATATGCATAGCTTACAGATATACTTACTCAAGTTATAATATCGTAGGTTACATCATATTACAGACAATTGGTTACTTCATCAAATAAACAGGAATTTATTTAGGACTTAATCCGACAATATAAAGAATCTGATCGGTGGTACAATGGATGGCTCGACGGGTTCTAAAAATTTTGATGCTGCCGTTTGCAATACTGCAGAGGCGTCCACAGCATTCCACTCACGCACCAATAACAAAAAAATCCCAGCATACCTATAGAGTGAATTATGATTGGTGGGGCGAAGCATTCGTCAGTCCGTCCGTGCTTTCGTGCACCCATTCGTTCTTATTTCTGTCCATCCACGCGTCCGTCCTTGCATCCGTCTGTGCGTCCTTCTATGCATCCGTCCGTACCTCCGTTATTTTGCCTGTCCATTCATCCGTCCATGCGTCTGTTCGTGCGGCCGTCTCTTTGTCTGTCTGTCCGTCTGTCTGTGCGGCCGGCCCTCTGTTGGTGCGTCCATCAGTCCGTCCGTATATCTGCATGTCCATCCGCCCATCCGTTTATCTAGTGAGCACTCCAAGTACAACCATCTCATCTTTTCATCATGTATTCATCATATACAAGTGCCACCATCCAATGGACACCCTAATGACCGCTCTTTCAAGTAGGAGCAACCGGTGGCTTCACACACCATCGGAGGATGGACAGACCCACCCCGTAAGGAGCTTCGGCTCTAAATAATAAAAAAATGTGTTGTTGTTGCAACAGTATTCATCAAGATTGCGTGAGTGTTTGTGTCGGGTGATTCTAGGGTCACGTATGTTGATGTAGTGATGCCTTAATCTTGATTGAATTGTGCAAGAGTAAGTAGATAAATTTTAGACGACGAAGCTTCCATCTCCTGGATAAAGGAGCGAACGCTGCGCTCGAAGTAACTCAGTAGATGAATCTGTGCGCTGGTGTCAGATGTAGATAAATCGTGCTGCTTTACACTGCGCACTTTCAGGTGTTGATATGCGGGAAGACGTGTAAAGGAACCAGACAATGGTATACCATACTCAAATATTGGCCGTATAAGTGAAACCTAAGCCAGAAATTTCATCTCATTGTGTGTGTTCATGGCTTTTTTTTTAAAATACTGAACGTTCATTGTTCAGTTCAAATCGGAAGTGATGGTAATACCTAGATACCAGTATTTGTTGACAGAACGCAGCGCAGTGCTGTCGGAACCCTAAGTGAACTTGATCGGAATATTTTATTAGTAACTGACATGGGAACAGTTTCTTTTTTGTAAATGGTCGAAATGGTCAAATTACTTCTGTGACGCATGAGCTATACAATATAAGGCTTTCTCATGTTCTACTCATTGACATACTTTCTTCTTCTCACCTTTACACCCCTCACACTGACGCTATATATTCCCTTTACCACCCACTTGCTCTTCTGTACTATGGCTATGCTACACCACCAGCGTTCGGCACATACGCAGGGGCATTGGCACGGGTTTGGGATAGTCGCTTACACAGTCACTGCAAGCTCAAACATCTCTGATGTCAAAAAATGCGATAGTATAGTAGAATTGTTTATGTTCAACTGTGTTTAGTGTATTAAGTTTGAGGGTATAGTACAACAACGCATTCGACAGGGTACGTAAGCACACAGTCACAGGCTTATTCAAGCGCACATGCAATGGCTTTGTTTATACTATAGCAGTCTATTCCCTACCAATTTTGTATACTGAGTGCAAGACCTATGCATAATGCAGAGCAATGCAGTATCTACAATAAATGTGTCTTTCAGTAAAAGTTAAATGAGGGCCGAATACAAAACGAAAGGTAAAGTTGTTTTTGCGTTTGGTCAGCACCTTCCTGTACCTTTGACCATGAGCATTCCTGACCAAACAAATCTTCATCGAAATCAATAATAAACAGGCATTTCATTCGTTACCTTTAGGGAACGAAGCTTTGAATGCCATGACGTCCGGCAAAAGAGACATGACCTTGCGCATTGTACTGAGAAATACTACGAGTGACAAGGTCTCGATATATTACAGCAAGTTTCGTGTGTCTAATGGTGCCAAGATGTACCAGCTGGAAATGGGTAATTTCATCGGGCCACAAGGTTAGTATTTTAGTTGACATTCAACAATACTTCATGCTTGATATTCTTGCCACAAGACCTCACGGCATTATTACCTTGTGTGTATTGTTAGCATAAACAACTTAGACCAGCTTTTCAAATTTGATTGTAGGTTTAGGTGGTTTAGAATTTTTATTGAACTGAAGGCACTTTGCACCTATCTATCTATCTATCTATCTATCTATCTATCTATCTATCTATCTATCTATCTATCTATCTATCTATCTATCTATCTATCTATCTATCTATCTATCTATCTATCTATCTATCTATCTATCTATCTATCTATCTATCTATTTAACCATTGACGCCTTGTCACTCTCATAATCCTTAACTTGGAATGATCGCAAAACGTGGAGGAGTGTATAGCCAACCAAATATGCAGGTAGTCACACGTACAACGTTACTGTCCTGTAACGTACGCGATAAGATACTTTCGGCCACTTACGTGTGGCGCACATCCATGTACCGTAGTGTCGAAGTATGCGCCATAGGTGATACACTTATATGGCACCCCTGACATTACAAATCCTAACCCAACAGCCTGATGGAATCCGCGTCGCCGAAAATGCTGCTGTTAATGGGTAAAATGTTCCTTTCAAAGCATAAAGAGCAAAATCATTGCTTGATCTCATGCACCTAAATCCACGCCTTTTGCGTGGCCACCAATTATTTTATTACGGAGCAACCTTAGCACAGACAAAATGCTCGCGATACTACGGCATGCAACCGTTATATCAGGGCAACGAGAAGAACCGTTTTAGTGTCGATTCGATCGAGTACATCAATGACTCTGTAAGTTATATTCCAGCGCTCCACGAATAATCTTACGATATCTGCTTACCACGCACATAAGAAGCACAGAAGCGAGCACTCCTATCCAATAAAAAGGGGGTGTCTGCTCTAATACGAGTGCTCATTTTACATGAGACCATGCTCGACCTGCTACACGCTGGTCGGCTCCATGGGATTGTCGCATCTAAGATATGCACACACTTACACTCTTGACACAACATCAATACACATCCCAACGCTTTACTGAGAGCAAAGAATTCAGCGTAGACGGCGACTCATTGACTTGTCACGGAAACTTGGGTCTTAGAATGCGTGGAACGCGAATTACTTTTGACTCTTTATATTCGGAGAGTATGGCTATGAGTAACAGACACATAAAGAAAATGTGAAATGAACTGTGATGTTCAGCCTATTTTGATTTGGAGAGGCATTCTTTTCGAAGGTGTGTTTCTGTTGCTGCTTAGATTTATTTTCTGTGCTGTTATTCTTTCAGAAATTTGTAGACGCCGAACGACATTCATTCAGCATATCCAAAATTTAATTGCTGCGTTGTCAATCCAAACTTTTATTGCAATAGCAGTAATATGGACACTCACGGCTGGATTTCGCAAGCGGCGTCGGCATCATGCACTGTACATATGTGCGAATCTATATATATGAAAACGTAAGAAAGACAAAAGCTCCGCCGCGGTGGTCTAGTGGCTAAGGTACTCGGCTGCTGACCCGCAGGGCGCGGGTTCGAATCCCGGCTGCGGGGGCTGCATTTCCGATGGAGGCGGAAATGTTGTAGGCCCGTGGGCTCAGATTTGGGTGCACGTTAAAGAACCCCAGGTGGTGTAAATTTCCGGAGCCCTCCACTACGGCGTCTCTCATAATCATATAGTGGTTTTGAGACGTTAAACCCCACATATCAATCAATCATCAATCAAGAAAGACAAAATCCAGAAAAAACGACTACAACGCGCGGAATGAAACGTGGGACCTCCACGTCGTGAATGCGAGGCGTTAACCACTGAGTCATCAAAGGATACCTCCTTCAACTTTCAAACAGCAAGCTATTTATTTCTACCACTTAACGCTGTTGGCGGGCATATCGGGAGGGTACTATCGTGTTCTCAACATTATCAGCAATATGGTGCATTGAGCGCACGGCAGTTCTCATCTCTCACGCGTACTTCAGCCCGCGGAGAGGAGGGGAGCGGATGATCTCTTGTATGCCCTTATCTCCCCGAGGAGAGGATCATACGTCTTGGCTGGCGCTGGGCTTGCACGGGAATGATTCTGTTGTAGTTACGGGGCGCACAAAGGTCACTGCAATCGTTGCACAGCCTCCGTTTGCGAAAAGGGCACGCTTTTTAGACACTGTGAAGTAGCAACTAAGACGCGTGTTCGCGTTCATTTGTACCTGTGAGTACGTTTCGTGCATCATTTGTGCGTGACAAACGCGGGGCACGTTTCAATCTACTAGACATTCTGCGCGTGACCTCCGAATTTGTCGCTATCGCTTTCGTTGCTTTGCCTTTGCGGCAAAGATGTGACTTTTTCTTTTAACTATCTACAATCAGTTGTTTTGAACAGCTGCACATCAAAAACATGCCCGTTATAAAGCAATTTTTTAAACTCTTCAAAATCTTGGCGTGATTTTTAGGACGAGGTATTTATTCAATAAACAATATGGTTTTTCCGTTTGTTCACCTCAATAAAAAGGAAGTATACAAATAATAGTAACATTTTAGTGTAATGTGATCACAAATAGAGAGCAAGACTGAGAAATAGATAAAAGGAAAATACATGAAGATTGACCTCGTAGACAAGCCAGTTTGCTACTCTGTGCAGGGGTGGCAAACTAGGGATCAAAAAGATGGTAGAGATGAATTAAAAATTATTGCATATCCACGGAAGGAATAAAGGTGATTGAGGTGAGGCATCCGTCTGTCTGTCCACCCGTCCGTCCGTCCATCTGTCTGTCGGTGGATATGCGGTGCTGGGTACGTCGGAAAGATGACTCTCCTAGACCACAAAGAGCTACGCCCCTAAAAGTGCATATCCACACACATAAAGAACGTTCTGAATAGAGTTGTTCGGAGAGACAGCTTGAATGCAGAAAGCGTAGAACCGCCTCCACAGCCTTCTTTTGCGACGTTAAGTGTCGTCTGTGGTGCAGCATTTTTACATTAGAAAGAGTCTGCTGGTTCAGTAGATGAAGTGCAAAAAAGCATGCACAAACATACAGAAGCAGTTGTGGATTATTCTTTCGGAAATATAACAGCATTATAATGATAAGTTGAAAGCAGGCATGGCGTAAGCTTAAGGATCTCTTCTATACAGTATAGTTGAGCTGGTAAAATTTATGCCATGCCAGAGATAGAAAAGTGGATGTAGATGCATATCCTGAATTTTTTGGTCACATCCACTCTGGAGGTTCGGCCACAGTGTTACCGTCATGAATCAGCATCTGATTTTTTTACCTTATTCTCTGTTCGTCATTTTCTTCATCTGCTTCGATCCCTGAGCACGAGCGACTCTCCGCTGTGGAATGCACTAACACTGATGAGTGAAAAAATGAGTACAAAGTACAAAGACAGAAATTACAGAAGGAAAGAAAGAGAAACGAATTAAAGAAACAGATAGTGATATATATACCCTTTATTAAGTCCAGAAGACATGATGAAACGACCACACCCGAGGCACTAAACCCAGGCAAGCCAAGTTCCCACTCCAGATGAAGATGACGACCACTCATGATGATATACATTTGTGAAGGAAGTAGATGTGCCTAATTAATGGCCACGCTAACTCCTCCCCTCTACGTGAAAGTGGTCAGTTCAAAGCGAAGAGGAACGCCGTGTGAAAGGGTTCATGTGGAATACGTGTACTAGTTCTGCAACCCAGCAGCGGTGGCCTGTAGGACGAAGAACGGGTCCCACGCGATAATTGACAGAAGATGGTTGTTTCAAGACAGTGTAGGGGCCAATGAAGCGTAGTCGAAACTTGTCGCACAGGCCAGGAGTGCAAATATGCGTAAGAAGATCTTCATCGCCAGGGCTGAAGGACACGGCCCGATGATAGGCATCATATTCAAGCTTCCAATCCTGTTGCTTGGCTTCAGTGTTGACGAGGGCCAGCTGGCAGCAATGAAGTAGACGAGACACGTATTCTTCACTTGAGCATGAAGATGGTTTATGAAGATGGTAGCTAAGGACAAAACACATAGGGAAGATACGGCCGAAAGCTCCTCGAGTGTGGCAGTGGCCAGTTTGTTAAGTGACTCCGAAGGGAGCGGGCAACGCGAAAGTGCGTCGGCGTCTTGATATTTGTTTCCCGAATTGTATGTAATGGTGAAGTCATATTTTTGTAAGCGTAGAATCCAGCGACGAAGGCGGCCGGACAAGTTCTTGATTTTCGAGAGCCAGCACAAGGCGTGATGGTCCGTAACCACAGAGAAGTGGCGGCCGTGGAGATGAGGTCGAATCTTTTGCATTGATGATACTGCCACTAGGCACTCCTATTCGGGGATGATATAATTCTTTTCGGCAGGGGACAGTGCACGGCTCGCGTATGCGACAAACTTCACACGTGAAGATTTGTCTCGCTGTAGGAGAATTCCACCAATGCCCTGACCACTAGCGTCTGTATGCAGGAGCGTAGGCGTGATTTCGTTGAAATGACAGAGGACTGGTTCGGATGTGAGTGCACACTTCTGTTGGGCAAACGACGCTTAACATTCAGGAGACCAAGCAAAGGCGACGCCTGATCCGAGTAACTAGTGCAAAGGTGAAGCTATTGAGGCGAAGTCCCGATTGAATCGGCGAAAATAAGATGCAAGGCCGAGAATACTGCGCTAAACTCTGGCTTTTTCAGGACGTGGGAAATGTTGGACAGCGGAAGTCTTGTCTGGATCGGGACGAATACCGTCCTTGCTTACGATGTGGACAAACACTTTAATCGTCTTGCTCGCAAAACGGCCCTTCTTGGTGTTCAGCTGAAGGCCTGCGTTTGCAAGACAAGTGAGAACTTCTCCAGTCGTTGCAAGTGCTGAGGGAAGGTTGAGGAGAAAATAACGATATCGTCGAAATAGCCCAAGCAAGTCTTCCATTTCAAGCATTGTAAAACTGTGTCGATCATCCGCTCGAATGTTGCTGGAGCATTGCAAAGGCCGAATTGCATGACGTTGAATTCGTACAGCCCATCTGGTGTTGAAAACGTTGTCTTTTCTTTGTCATCCTCGTGCATGGGTATTTGTGAGTAATCCGAACGCAGGTCTAGGCTTGATAAGTACTTGGCTCCTTGCAGTGAATCCAAAGCATCGTCTATGGGCGGCATGGGGTAAACATCCTTGTGGGTAATCTTATTAAATGCCCTGTAGTTCATGCAAAATCGCACGGAGCCATCTTTTTTTCCTTTTCAAAACAACAGGGGATGACGAAGGACTCGCGGGGGACGTATATTATTCCGTTGCGGTGACATTTTCTTTAATGACCTTGCGCTCGGATGAAGAGACGCGATATGGTTGACGGCACACGATGGAGGTGCTCTCGGTCTTGATACGATACGTGCTAATGGACGTCTGTCCCAGAGGTGAAGAATGGGCATCATACAATATTCTATGCTTTTGTACCAAGGCAAGTAACTCATCTGTCTGCGAAGAGGCCAGCTCTGGACTGGTCAGCAAGAGTAGAAAGGCATGAAGACCGTCCAATAGAAGGAACGTCACAACAAGCGGGGCAAGAGGGACAGGCTGGAATACTGTAACGAAAGCCATCGTGGTGCCTTTAGGAATGAGAATTTTCTCAGACGTCTGGTTTGTAGCATAGAGAAGTACGGAGCCATTGTGGAATCGAACTAGACCTGAAGCAAGGCCTATACCTCTTGTGAGGCAGTGTGCAGATGGTTACACAAACACGTTACCAGAGGTCATCACGTTAGAAGCGATGGTAACTATTCACTGATGACCAGGTGGTCATCAGTGAATAGTTAGAATACAACTAGAAAAATAAGAATGGGGTGGAGCACACTTGGCAAGCACTCTCAAATTATGACAGGTAGATTGCCACTATCGCTCAAGAGAAATGTATATAACAGCTGTATCTTGCCGGTACTCTACTACGGAGCAGAAACCTGGAGACTTACAAAGAGGGTTCAGCTTAAATTGAGGATGACGCAGCGAGCAATGGAAAGAAAAATGGTAGGAGTAACCATAGGAGACAAGAAGAGAGCAGAGTGGATTAGGGAACAAACGGCGGTTAAGGATATCATAGCTGAAATCAAGAAGGAATGGACATTGGCCGGGCATGTAGCGCGTAGACAGGATAACCGTTGGTCGTTAAGGGTAACTGACTGGATTCCCAGAGAAGGCAAGCGGGTTAGAGGGAGACAGAAGGTTAGGTGGGCAGATGATATTAAGAAGTTTGCGGGTATAAATTGGCAGCAGCGAGCACAGGACCGGGTTAACTGGCGGAACATGGGAGAGGTCTTTGTCCTGCAGTGGACGTAGTCAGGCTGATGATGATGAGGATGATGACCACGTGGTAGCTTGGTATCTTCCGCAGCGTGCAAGGCTTGTCATCCGCATAAAGGTCGTGATCAGTTTCCTGCATATGAATAACATTTTCTCGACAGTAGATGGAAGCGTTCGCCGTAGACTGAAGATCCCAGCCTAATACAAGCTGGTGGCCACACGAACTAAGCACAGCGAATTGTACAAAATGGAGAAGACCGGCAACAAAAACACGAGTGTTGCACATAGCGACAGGTATATTGGCGTCCCCTTGAGCAGCGAGCAGTGTAGGTCCTTTATAAGGGGTGGTGACTTTTCACAGACGTGAGCACAAGGAACGATCGATCACAGACAAACAAGCACCAGTGTCTATTAAAGCGTCCACGTACAAACCTTCTATTAAAACAGATATTTTATTATATAGACACACTGCAGGAAATTCTACCTTTTCGTTTGATTCAGCTTTTCTTCCAAAAGCTGCAGAGGTTAGTTTTCCGGGCGTTGGTTGGCGAATTGCGAAACAGGTCGCAATGAAGACGCAGAGTGGCAGAAGGGTGATGGTGAGCGGCGTCTAGTAGAGCGGCAGAAAGAAGTCGGCTCGGATGTCGCAGTTGGTGACGGGGAGCGACGAAGCGGCGGATCATAAGTGTGGCGTTGAAAAGTGGCCCCGCTTGTCCCATCATCCCATTCGTAGGGGCCGAATCCATGACGCTCGTGGCGCTGACGCTTTCGACAGAAGCGTGAAATTGGACACGATAGCCGCAGTAATAACCTATCGGACGAGGTGGCCGCCATGGTGGGTGAAAGGGGTGGCTAGGTGCACTCGGAGCCGTCGAAGCCAGGAAGACAGGCGTCGAGTGTGCAGGCATCGGTTGTATGACGGGTGGTGAACCAGCGAGGACTTGTGCGTACGTCGGCTGGAGTCGAGGTACCAGAGAATTTACATACGCTGGCCTGGTCATGGACGCGGACGCCAACTCCTCCTTGATAACGTTGCACATAAGAGTGTTGAAAGGAGGAGGTGGACTCGGGGTCACTGAAAGGCCAAAAGATTGCAGCATTTTGTATATTTGCTCGCATCAAAGTACGCAATGAGGGATCAGTCGTGGTGGTGTTTTCAGGGCTGTCCGGCAGTAACCATTGGGACTCAAATTCATCTAGGCGTTGGCACGTGGCAACAACGTCAGCGACTGTGTTTGGAATTTTTATGACCAAGAGAATGAATGCGACCGTGCCGATCTCCTTCAATAGATGGCGAATCCTCTCTGATTCGGACATAAACGTGCTGAAACGGTGACAGATAGCAAGCACATCCTATTTGTACAAGGTGTAAGACTCACCGCGTTTCTGCTTGCGAGCGCCCAGTGTCTTCTTGACGAGGACTGAACGAACCACCAGGGTGCCGACAATTAAAGGAAGCTGTTGCATCAAATATGTCTGGTCAGTGGTGTCCGTTTCATGATTGAAAAATCACGTTGTCGCTACGCCTGTCAGAAAGAAAGAAACACGGCGGAGCTTGGCAGGGTTATCCCAGTAGTTAGTAGAACTCGCTCGATTGAACTGGTCCAACCAATCCTCCATATCTTCACCTCTAAGTCCGGCGAACGTGGACGGATCACGCTGGTACGCAGTGATAATCCACGATGGATAGGCCGCCGTAGTCGGGGCCATGGAGGTAGACGCAGGAGCGCCGGTGGGCTTGTACTGAGGCATGTTACCAGACACCTGCACAGACGACGACCTGAGCGGAGCTCCAGGAGGTAAAGCGGGCTAGGAGTTGTACGGGGATTGATACCTCACACCTCCACCTCTTGTGATGCAACGGTGAAGGCAACCTTCATTAGGCCCCGAAGACACGATGGAGTGACCACACCCGAGGCAATGAACCCAGACAAGCCAAGTCTCCTCCCCCTACACACACTAATATATATATATATATATATATATTAGTGTGTGTAGGGGGAGGAGACTTGGCTTGTCTGGGTTCATTGCCTCGGGTGTGAAGTGTATATATATATATATATATATATATATATATATATATATATATATATATATATATATATATATATATATATATATATATATATATATATATATATAGGTGTGTGCGTGTGTGTGTGCATGTGTGTGTGTGTGTGGTGTGTGTGTGTGGTGTGCTTATCTTCCTCTAGCAATCGAAGCATGTAATGCTGGAGAGTGTTACCAGAAGCATGCAATACACAGAGTGCAGTCAAATGAGAAATATTCACTGACAATAAACACTTTCAGCTTTATTGATTGCAATGTAATCCTCCACAATATAGACTTCTCTGGTAACGTAATGCAATAAGAAGTATGAACTCAGTGCTTGAAATACTCCCTTTAGCAGCAGCACATCGCTATCATATTCAACCTTTAATGGTGACGCTTAAGGGTGTCCCAATTTTCTGGAACGTACCGTTCCACGCAACGAGTCTTTTTCTGGCTTTGTATCTGAAGGAGCAGGGTTGTTGCTACGGCGGATCACCATCTGTACGAGTGCCGCATAATCATCTTTTGTTACTTTCATCTGACATACACGTAAATTTCTTGTGCAGGATGGGACGCAATGAGGCACGCCGATGGCCAGAAGTTTTCTACTTATGACCAGGACAACGATGTTTCAACGTATAACTGTGCCGAGCAATACCGTGGGGCCTGGTGGTACAGTGACTGCCACGCATGCAACCCGAATGGCCTCAATTTAAATGGATACCATGAAAGCTACGGCGATGGCATCGAGTGGAGCATACGAGAACACACGGGAAAGTTGTACTACTATTCGTATCCGTATATGGAGATGATGATCAGGCCTGCGCGCTTATTGGAAGGGAAAGAGAAGGACCTCAAATTTTTCCCGAAGCAATAACAGCCCGAGAAGCATGGTTGTAATAATAAAATAGCTTGTTAAAAAGTATAGTTTGGGTGATATTTGTCTTCGTCATAAACACGGGCGCACAACACAGAATTAAGAAAAATTTATTGACCCTTTATAGGAGCTCGAACAATGTTTTACGCTCCTATTTACGCCACATGTACTTATTAGATTGCAAGCTTTATTTGCTGTCCTTCCGGCAAGCTGCGGCATGTCTTTCATGTAAAGAACCCTTTTCATAATTCGCAAGTGAGCTTGTATTTGCCCAAGTGATGGCAGCACCTGTCGTGCTTTAAGTGAAGACGTGGTGTTAGTTCAATAAGCTGGCGCTTGCCTACATACTATGCGTGTTTATACCGAGAGAGCCGACTCTACGTTTTCCTCGGCGTATTGTAATCAATCCGTGCTTGAATAGGTTGTTACCGCTAAGTGACTAGCCGACATTACTTTTTAATACTGCGTAGCAGGAAAACTAGCTTGACAATTTTGAAAATGGTCTATTAGACAGCGGATCTTAGAAAATAAAATACCATGTTGCTGTAGTTTTCCAGTGCTTGAGGGAAAAGAACAGGGGTTAATAAGTAAGATCTGCTAGGCTAACCTTGCTTGTAGCGACATCAGCCACACCGTATGAAGAATATTTCTTTCCTCATTTCACTACCTTGCCAAAGTAGAAAAACAACCTTACTTCGCAAATTTTTATGACCCAGAACATCACCGAAGAAGGTAAAATATAGCCGGAGATGCCACTCAAGTTAAAGTACTTCAAGTCGTCACCTGAGGCACCGACATCATAATAGACGCAAGGTGAGACGGGAGAGTGGCTAAACCCTTCTTCACCCCGACTCTCCCAAAGAAAACTTTGGTACGTGAAACAAAGTTTCTTTATGTTTTTCAGTCATTGATCGATGATCTGCGGGAATATTTATTGTAACATTAGGCCTTACACGGTGACCCAGTGGTTATTGTTCGTAATGATCACGCATAGTTCAGGGCTGTTGTGTTTTCGGTAGAGCTAAAAATTCTTGAAGCCGTGGTACTGAAGTTTAGGTGCATGTTAAACATTTCCAAGTGGTCGAAAATTTTGGTGCCCTTCACTATGTCATCATTATTATACATGGCATCCTTCTGGGATGTCAGACACGAGCTAATATATTATGCGCTTTTGTTCTTCTTCTTAATACTTTTGTCGCAAGAACGCAAACAAGTGAGGCATGGTTTTCTCTTTTCAGTACAGTACACTCTCTAAATAATCAGGAATGAGAATCTTTTTTCTTTTTCTTCCTTCTTCTGTATCATTTAACTTGCGCGTTCTTTTATGTTGTGAAGTGTTGTGTGTTCCTTTGACTAACGTAGTGTAGTCTGCTCTATGTGAGCTGATAAATTGTGATGACTGAATGCATTATTAATTTTTTTACGAAGTACTTCGTCCTTTTTATTAACGCGAAAGGTAGCGTTGCTCTTTATCAGTTTCTGTTTTTACTGCAACCCCCACGTACTCAATCCAAGCGCGCTTGTGAGGTATATTTCAATAAGTAAAAGTTACTAAATAAATAAATTGGTTTTGTAACAGCAGCTCGTTTAGAAAAGGCAGACTTTAGAACATGAACACTACTCTTCTAGCTCTCAGCTTATCATAGGTACTGAAAATTGTTTATCAGCAGGGGCTCTCGTAGTTGCCGCTTCTCTATCGACAAGTGCACGTGCACCTTACCTCTCGCTACGACACCGGTACTCACACACGCTAGAAGCAAACGATGATGTCACCTTTAAGACGTGTTAACTCAGCTGCTGATTGAAATGTCGTGGCTTCGATCCCAGCACGCCGGTGGCATTTTAATGTAGTAAAAATGGTAGAGAACCATGTGCTGTGTCATATATGTACACGGTAAAGAGCATAGGTTGGTCGAAATTTCCGGAGTTCCTCACTACGGTGTCTCTCATAATGATCTAGTGATGTTGTGATACAAAACCTGTGATAGGAAAAAAAGACCTTAGTTCACTCCCAGCCCCTGTGAGATTATTAGGTCGTAGACAATAACGGTTTTAACTGGGAGTGCAAACTCACTGTGCAGACTTATGATACCAGCCATACTCAAGAGTAGGCTGCAACTGTTGTTGCGGTTGCCCAGCTAAAGCATTGCAATCTTGTCATCCTCCCAGCATCGTGAAACACCCATGTACCTTCATTAAGTTCATCCTTTGTTCATGGCGCTGTATCCCAGCGTTCTGTCCGTAGTTATCGCCAACCTTGGCTTACGGCATAGCCTTGACAAGGAAATGTGCCCTTCATGGATACCCTTGGAGTAAAGGAGTACCTCTGTGTGAAAACTTACCTGAGCTGTTTGGTTCGCCGTTGCATTACTTCAATTGCCCATGCCTCTACGTCAACATTCTTCGGGACGTTCACTTGAGGACATTTTTTCTGTTCTCTCCAACCAAATACGCTAACGAAAAAAACTCGTGCGTGAGCCGTAGGCGTAAGCATTTGCTGCTGGCTGCACGAGCATTTACAGTTACCGCTCAGAGCAAGGATGTCTGTCGTCACTGATAAGCGATATGTAGACGGCCAGCTAACTGGTTGTGTCATTCGAAACGCGGTTGGGTGCACTGAAGTGCACTGTAGTGTGACATGGGAGTGGTCTCGTGATTTTATCTAATACTTCATACCACTTTTATAAACACAAGAGAAATTCACCCATGCACATTGCCGACGATATTAGGGTAGTCGAGGTTGTGGTGTATACTCTTTCAAGTTACTGTGTTACCGGACACCCAAAAAATATGAGCGTGTGCTGGAATTTACGGAATGTAAACTACTCGCCAGAAAGGCTTTACGTTTACATCCCTATCCCACATTTATGCCTTCGTTCATGGCTACACGCGATATCCTCTTTTTGGTGACTCGGACAACCGAGTGTAAAATTTTTGGACCCTTAAGCTTTGTCTATAGGAGTTGAATGCATTAGCCATATCGTGTCCCTAGTGCGTACTCAAGCTACTTATATTAGTTTTTCTTGCATGATGTTATTTGACAAATTTAAAAATTCTACTAAAGCGATGTGATCTATAAAGTTGCAAGTTGCTTGTACCAGTCAAGCTCTCACATACAGCAGCATTCTCTGAAATGAGTAGCATGCTTTAAACCATGAAAAATTATGCGTGTGAAATCTTATAGAACTTGCTCTGCAACCACTACGTGATCTTCGGATAATGCGCGGAGTAATGTGTGTGTCTTTTTGTAACAGGCGACCAGCTTTAAATCATGAAGTCATTATGATAATCATATTTTCGGACGCCCGATGACAATTTACGTGTCTATCATTGAATACTACTGCGACATTGCACGCTGCATTGTGAAGGCTGTACACAGGACGCATGTGTTTGCAAAGCATGCACGTTTTTTCACTGCGCTTTCAAGCAGAGGAAGTATTTTAGTTGCATTAGGATAAACTACATTAAAGTACCGGTGCAGATGCCGACACAGACGCCAACGCCACAATTTCTGTGACATGAGCCCTTTCGCGTTAAGGGGCAATCACTTGCCTAGACACCTAAAAGGGGAGAGTGCGTAGTCAACTCCAAAGATTGCCATAATAGGAAAGGGGCTTTGAGACTCAGGTGGGGGGGATTGGCGGAAGGTCAGCCCCATACATTGAGAAAATAGGGAGTGGGGGCACTGCGATGAGTCTTCTCCCTCGAAGGACAAAACTTCGCCCGCCTGGGTTCCCTACAGATCTGGTGTTAGGTCAGTGAAACTTTCGTTGCCCTTCCTTCAGACCGACGTCAGTGCTGGGCGCGCTTCTGATGGGCTTCGGTTGAGAGAATGAGCGTTTGAGTACCATAAAGTGTACTCAAACGCTCATTTTTTGAAAGGTTAATTGAAAAATATATTATAAACGTCTACTGTGTCATACCATTCGGGTGGAGTGTTCTAGCATACAGAGCAAGCTTCATTGAGGCTTGTTTTAGCCTCGAAATTCGAAGGCACCACTTTTTTAAAATAGGTTGCAGTGAGAGCACGGGTTGCCATCACCTTGTTGCAGCCTGCTTATTGAAGCTAGTGGCCTGGAATGCCAAAGCCGTAAACGTGAGAGGCCTAAAGAACGCGATAAACGTTAGAGGTGGTGCCATCTAGAGGCGTTATGGTGAACTAGGCAAACACAAAGTTGTCATTGTGGAAATATAGCGCTTTCTACTGCTAAAATGGTTCCTTGTACGTGTTGGTAAGAAATACTGAAATAAAGAGCGAAAAACGAGTGAAAAACGAGGGACCTGACAAACAAGTACACATACAGAGCGTTCTGTATGTGTACCTTTTTGTCTGGTCTCTCGTTTTTTGCGCTTTTTTTCACTATGGCATTTTACTGCCTGTGTGAAAGCTTTGCTGTAGCATAATTGAGAATGAATTGATAATTGAGAATTATCATAATTTTTTTTTTCAATAACACTATGCGGTAAGAAACGTGCCTTTGACTAAGGTTGTGCGAAGCGCCACAAGATAGGAACATCATCGTCTGAAAACCCTGTAATTTCGAAACACTTTGCGTACACCGGGATACAGTAAACCCAAAATACCTCTCCTAATGATTGCCCTGCAGCAATGACCACATCTTATCTTAACCTAGTATACTGTAATGCAGCTGTCATCATCACTCAGTGATTTGCGAAAACGGAAAGAATACGTTTACGTATGCACGTAAAAGTTTACGTACGATGAGTTAAAACATTTTCAAACGTGTTCCGGTAACATGGAGAACGAAATCCTTCATCGCAGAAACATGTGAACGTAAAAACGAATACGTATACCGGCCAGACGCCCTATTGAATTGGCAGTCTTCTAATGCGTTTCGCAGCGTAATGAAACACACTTGGCTCTAAACTGTATGATAAGAATTTTGCGGTTTTCAAGTTATATATTTGTACTTTTTAGGCAGACACATGTTGGCCAACTTCTTATATTCCCCGCGCGTCTTGGCAACCTTGACTTT